GACCTTTAAAATAAGTAGAAGGGGGTTTCAAAGCCTCCTGCATTTCGTACAGTATAGGAGTCCCAGAAATCAGCTCTGTCTTCTGCATTTTCACAAGGAAGAAAAATCTCTTGAAAACTAGAAATCCCAACACCCACTCATTCAGGTTGTTTGCCTGTTTTTATGAATAAATCATCTGTTATTAATTGTTTTCCTGAAGTCTGCATGCAATGACTATTACCACATGTACCAAAACATAAGAAGATGTGATTAAAAAAAAAAGCTCATTAAACAAGATGTCCTGAACTGGCTTCTCCCAATCTGGGACCCCTGGGAGAAAATTATTGACATCATCATACTTTCTTAAGATACTTGCTAACATTTGTGAATTATAGGCCTGTGTAGATCTAGAGCAATACTACAGAGTAACTGTATCTCACTGATGATGATGTCTGGTTATGTCCAGATTACTATAAATTACACTTTTTTTTTATAACCAGTAAAATTTTGCCTAATTTCTGGCTAAATATGTTGTTATTTTGTTCCAATTTTACACACTTTTCAAAGACAGATAATTATTATTGTACAGCAGTATATTACTGTAAAGTATTATATAGGGTATTACAGAGTCATATTTGTTTGGCTTTTTTTAATTTTTTAAAAATAAAAATCTCATTTCATTTTACCTCAGCCTCAACTTGTTCTTATTTTTTTCTTATATTTTTTAAGCAATTTTAGCTGCAGTGTTCTTATAAAATGTGTTCTTATAATAAAAAAGTGTAAGGGCCTATTCCATTTATCAACTTATTAATTTTTTGCCATAGTTTAAATGATAATGTAAAAAATTGTTCTGCCTATCACTAAAATCAATTAAACTGACATAATGACTAAAATAAAATGGCTAGTAAATAATTAATAAATGAATGATTAAGTTCAATTTTGTGCTTGTATCAATGTAGAAAACTGATGAACCATGCAGTATCAGCCATTGTATCTCTTTTGTTTCACGTTATATGATTGAATGAAACTGATACTATTTCTATGTAATTTGGAAATGTCAAGAGTATACAATTTCATAAAGGTTTAATTACCTATATTTCTTAAAAGTCTACATCAATAGATTTACTAAATCTATTGATGTATTCATGTATATCAATGTTTAGGGAGTCTTCAAAAGTATCTTTGGTGTTTCTTTTGGAGAGAAGGGTATATGGTTTTCAAGGGCAGAATCAAACAAATAATCTAATATTAGACTAAAGAAGTTAATTCATATCAACTTTGTGATTGAATTAATAGGCCTACTTTAGTAATATTATGGAATAAGCATAGAAACAGAAAATCCAAAGGGAAAAAATTGATTATTTTTATGGAAATGCAAAAAAACGATGTAATCTGATCTAATTTAATCAGATTGGATCTACTGTACAGTAGCTAGAAGCATTAAATGTCAGTGTTGATTCTATATTATGCCGTCATCGATACAATTATTGCTGTTTTCCTGTTGGCAAAGGATATTCGGCCGTACTCCGGGTAAACAATAAAAAAAACAGTTATTCACCTCTCCGCCGACAAAGTCAGTAGTTATTTGAAAACATTACAAATGATGCACTTGTCAAGGGCGTCGATCCGTGGCTTTAAGGGGGGGGGGGCTGTCTCTTATACACATCTAGATGGAATGAAAAATAAAGCCTTGGGCCGTTGGGGACCAGGGGGCTCTGGTGCATATAGCCTTTTAATTGATTTTAAGCAATGCAATTAACATTTATTTCCATACGAAATTTTCAAAATATCCAGTGGTGGATCCAGTAAATTTAAATAGAGCTGGGCCCAGAGAGGGACTTTAAAAGATGGAGAGAGTAGCTGGACTACCACCTCAGCCCCACCATGGTTGGGGCTGAGGTAAGAAAATTTATGATTATGGCACCTCCAGTTGGTCGGAAATGGCACTCTCAGACTGAATCTGAATATAATTTTAATTTTTCTCCACTTTTAAATTTCGAAAAAAAAAATTAGTGATGGTGGGCCAGCTGGACCCCTTCGAATCTGCCACTGAAATACTCATCATAAAAAGTTTTTAAAATTATCCTATTTAGTCATAATTATGCCCGCTTATATATTTCGTGCAAACTAACATTCATGAAAATAATGATTTATTATCTACTGATTAGCTTGTAACGTATTCAAAATTCGAACTATGAAAAACAAATAAGATAAACTTAAAACAGTCATTAATTTAGTCTTTTTGCATGTACAGTACTTTTAAAATCAATCAAGGTGTTTGCTTTTCTCCTCTTTTTGAATTTCAATTTTGTGCAAGTAATATTGCGATAAATTATTGTGAGTGGAAATAATAGATAGGGAGCACACAAAACATTAGTTAGCATTTTGATTTCACAAACATAAAGGTGATTTACTTAATTTATCATTATCAATGGCAGCTCCAGGAAAGCAAATTAGAGGGGGGACAGGGAGGGACTTGCACGTTGGGAAAGTAGATCAAAAAAATGATTTTGAAAAAATTAGGGTCGGCTCGGCCCCACTTGAATCTGCCATTAAAGGCTGAAATTAGGAAAAACAGTAATCCTATGTTAAATTTAATATTAAACACTAGTATGTTACGTACGGGTCATACAGTAATAATATACAAAAGGAATAAATCGTTCATAGAAATTGTGCACTTTTGAGTTTGTAAAAATATTGGCCTAATAAAGATACATGCTTCCAATTTTAACAACGTTCAGTACATTGTTTTCACAATAAATTTAGCCTCTGATAGTCCTTGCACCCATAAAATCGATCTAGTGGGTTTCTGAGATGGTTACGAAATGTTTAAACAATTGCGTTAATACTTTTTTTTGGTCCGGAAAATACGTACCACACTTAGAAAAGTGAACAGACAAAAGTCATGAGTCATGCATAATTGTTATTCTTTCCATTCGCTTTTAAAAGTGGGGTTTTAATTATAGAAGATTGGTGAAAAGTGGGGGGAACAATCGATATGATGTCCCCCCCTACTTTACATCTACTTGTAAAATTTAGGTACGTCCCGGCACTACGGGGACACAACTTTGTGTACATCCCTGGCTCAGTCCCGGCTAGTGCCCCGCTATGGCCCGGGTCCAGAGGGGCCGGGACTACAATTAACAAGTGCATAACCTCTCACATAGTAATAAACATGTTATCTAATATTTATGACCACATGGGGCTGTGTTGGGGACAACGAGTATAATACCTAATATTCATGATCACGTTTTCGATTAGCGCGAATCTGCCGGGTGAATATTCACTCTCTTTCCTGTTTTAGGTGGCAGTATGATCATACTATAATTTGTGTAAACTTGTAAGTTTGATAACTTAAAGTTTCTTCCTCCTATTATTATTAGTTCTCAAGTTCTACGGAACTTCCTTATGAGAGTTTTGTCTATTGTTGGACATACTGAAATATTTTAGAGAAAAGTATTAAGGAAATATCAAGCTTAAGCAGCCTAATATATAAAGTCTACAATGGAGTCCTGGAATTTTCATCATTCACAAAAATTTGGCTAGAATTGTTCCTCGAAGTCCTCTCAGACAGTGATAATTTACTGTGAAACTCAAGCTAGCTATCTGTAGGCTAGGCCTAGCCATATACCTACTCTGTATGCACTTGAGCAACCCATATTTTGCACAAATCATTAGGTGCTACAGAAATTAAATCAGGTGTGATTCATACACGGGTATGTAGCTGAGGTTGAGTATCTTCTCCGAGAGTTATGGTTGATTCCTTATGGTTAGAACATTAAGAAGAAGACATTCAGCCTCAGCAGGCTCACTCAACTACAGCTGTGTGTGGTCCTGTCATGCCAAAATTGGCCCGGTCCAAAAAATGACCGGCAGACAGAATTTTGGCTGCCAAAATCGGTCCGTCGGACTACTAAAATCGGTCATCCGGATTGATTTTAGCTGCTAAAACCGGTCCCGCTTGGATAAAATTGGTCTGCGTTGGCCTGGCCACTTCATTTGTAACTTTGCTGCTCGTAGGATATGATGGTTTCTCCCATGGAGTGGAGGAAAGTATGCTTCTCCCACACTTGCAAATTTTTGCAGTGACAGAATGATTTGTTAAGCTTTTGAGGAATATTTTATCAAACCACCAGATAATGCATTTCCCAGGCCTAGGCGATACACACAGCATGCATTTTCGGTGGCCATGTTTAGGCCTACTTTTGAGCCTAAAATGAAACACAAGACTGATTTATTAGTTTTAAATATTCCTTATTATTGTGCGGGGTATTAGGTCATACAATAAGAGTCAGCATTCTAAGAATTGAATGCATGTACCAAGGAGGTATAAAAATATTTTTATACCTCCTTGCATGTACTTCGTCGCGGCGTTAAGCTGCACACACAAACAAAACAAAACAAGGTAAAAAATGAACTACAGCGGACCAACACGATTTAAGACCACATTGTATAACTTCTTTCGTACTTTTACACCAAAGGGTTTACCGATGGGGGCAAAGCTTTATTACTTAATTTTCGCCAGTGGTTTCACCTATGATTTCACACATACAATAACGGATGAAAACATATTAGGCTATAACAAGAGATAAGATATATATTTATCATTTGGTTACAAAAAAAACATTATAAAAATACAAGTTATAGGCCTAACTATTAAATAGAAGCCGGACCGAATTTGGCTTATGAGGACTATATTTGGCAGGTAATTTTAAAACCAAAATCGGTCTGGCGGACCATTTTGGCCCCAGACCAAATTTTTCCTGTCACCCCAACCAAGGATTTTTGCACCTGATCCTAGAAATTTTCCATTTACGTAGCCCTAGGCCTAAATACTGAGAGCTCTGTAATATCATTGTGATGAATTGACAACAATAGCAAATCATCTAACAATAAGTATCCATACCTTTAAAAAAAAATGATCACTTCCTTAACTTAACCTCACGGTGAGGGCCAAAGTAGGCATTCTCACACTAAAAATCAATTCTGTCAAAAATATTTCGTAATCACTGAGGGCCTACCTTTACCGGGTTCCGTGTAGAGATTATAGCACTCCATTAGGATTTTCTCATTAATAGAAAGCGTGCCAGTGTCGACTGAATTAGCAGACGATCGTTGCTTCATCTGTTTTAATTTCCCAGACATTTTACAAGAGATAATATTTGTTACACCACCGAGAAGATGTTAAATATACCGGTAATTTGGTGCCGTGAAAGAAAAATAATGGTGACGTACCATCTAATAAAACCGCTCTGCGAACAGGCTCGTTTACACCAGCGTGTGCAGATGACGAATGCGTCAACATCTGTACCGTCTAGTCTTTACTACCAAATCCAGCGAAACATAATCAGTTTGATGACGCTCTTGGATTTGTGTTGACACAAATTTGTTAAAAGGAGTCCAGTGACTTGCCATGTGTGTCTTGCGTGGAAAGAGCTGAGCCAGGCGAGTGTGAAAATCAGTTGCTCTGCGAATACGAAGGACGCAATTTGTTTTTTTCAGGAACTGGGACTTGACTTTTTGTGTTCAATAATTTATGCATCCGTTATGTGGCTAACCAGGGTTTTGTTGGGTCATAAATTCTACTCTCGAAAGCGAACTCCAGGATTGCAATTTATAGGGTAAGTCTGCTGTGGGCTTGCACCTACAACTACTACTACTAGGCTAGTAACTAGCTAGCCTAGGCCTTAGTTTTAGGCATAATTAAATTAGTGGGCTAGCTGTAATACAAGATAGAACAGGAGGCCTAGCCTAGCTAGACCACTGCTCAACTTGGGTCGGCCTAGGCTAGCCCTCATAAGATGCTACCTGATATAAGCTCGTCGCCTGGTTTTTGTGTTCCGCAAGTCAACCTTAAATCCACTCTTCAATATGATTATAATTTATATATTTGGTATTAATATTATAATATAATTATTTTATCATATCAACTTAACTATGCCCCATTTCGTTTATTCGTCTTAATTGTTAAAACAACAAAAGAATCACAGAAAAGAACAAACAGGATAAAAAAATGATATAAAAATTGACTAAAGTGGATTACTGAATAGTAAAAGTTGAACACATTAAATGAATAATTCAGCCCATAAAACAATCTTTCAAAGCCCCATGAAAAAGGGTATTTTTCTGTGTGTGCAGTTTGCAAATGTATGAATGTCTTCTTTTTTACATTTGTTGCTAATATATTACAGGAGTCCATGAATAGTATTAAAATTACTGGGTACTTTTTTTTTCTACTGTACATTTTATCATGTATCGTACGGTCTTCATTTTGTAGCAAGCATCGACGATTTCGACCAATCACACGATTCATGGTACGAAATACAGTAAGGAGACTGGAGCTTGAAGAACAGAATCGCCAGCATCTTCAAAAATCATTTTTAACTGAGGTATGAATGATGATGTATTGATGCAAAAAAAAATTTACTAGCTTGAAATTTCATTTAAATGTATTTAATTCTTTTGTATTTTACTTTTTTTGCAGATGGAAGAGAAAGGCAGTGCCACACTGAGGAAAATAGTACAATCCAAAAATTTTATCGAAGCAAGGAGAGCAGAAAAAATGAAACCACATAAATATTTAGAGGACTATTATAAACATTTAGAAAAAACTAGAACATGGTAACATTTATGTTGGCTGAACCATGTGTATAAGTAGAAAGTATCGAACATTTCGTAGACATCAGATGGTAGAGCTGTACTAACTTGGATACTAATATTACATTGGACAGATGACCAGTTGATAACCAATTGTGCTGAGGTCTCTACCTTGAACTGCTTGCCAAATAGTTCCTGTCTGTATCCTATCTATCTTGGCTATTGTATAAGGAGGCTTTTATAAATCAAGGCTATTGGAAAATGTAACACATGCAAGATGGTGTCTTGTTATAGGATGTACAGTAGTAGAGTTCTGTTATATTGTGTTCAGATTAAATTTGTTGGTGCTACTGTACTTGAATGTTTACTGGATTAACTGATGAAGATGATAAGACGATAATTATGATTCAGATATGTACTGGATGTAATAAAATTCTTCTATGCTTCATATGGTACACGCTGTATGGTCAATTAATTTGTCTTAAGTCAACAGTGCTACTGTATTATAGTAGAAAAACAGGTCTCTCGCCAATGAAAAACTACTTTTAGGACTGGGTTTTCATGGTTTCATGGCAGTACAGTATATACCATACCTAAAGGCCATTTTCCACATGCATGCACTATTGATAATTTTGTGATGAAAACTCAACAGCGCATGTGTATGAGCTAAAAATTGTTGATTCGCATGAATAAATTCGTCCAGTGGAAAAGACCTAATATTGTGTAAAAATGTTATACAACAGATTAAAAGCATTGCCAATACAAAAGTCTAGTGGTTTTATATAATTTATTTCATTGTTTTTTTAAACATTAAAAGTTGAAACATTAATAAACAATTTATAAAATTATTTTTAATTAACAATTTGAAATATTTTATAAGAATTATTATATTGTATGGTCAATTAATTTGTCTTAAGTCAACAGTGCTACTGTATTATAGTAGAAAAACAGGTCTCTCGCCAATGAAAAACTACTTTTAGGACTGGGTTTTCATGGTTTCATGGCAGTACAGTATATACCATACCTAAAGGCCATTTTCCACATGCATGCACTATTGATAATTTTGTGATGAAAATTCAACAGCGCATGTGTATGAGCTAAAAATTGTTGATTCGCATGAATAAATTCGTCCAGTGGAAAAGACCTAATATTGTGTAAAAATGTTATACAACAGATTAAAAGCATTGCCAATACAAAAGTCTAGTGGTTTTATATAATTTATTTCATTGTTTTTTTAAACATTAAAAGTTGAAACATTAATAAACAATTTATAAAATTATTTTTAATTAACAATTTGAAATATTTTATAAGAATTATTATATTAATTAATGTACAACTACTATATAACCAATCACATTAATAAGTAAGTTAATGCCTCTGTATAACGATCAATTATTCATTCCCCACCCAGGAATACAATTGGGTACTTGGTGGCAGGAGGTATTTTACTAGGCAAGGACCTCTGTTCCAAGTGTGGGGAGGGGAGTGGGTGGGATAGTAGCTATAATACATGGCTGCTGCTGGGAAGATCCACCATTGTGTTACATTAGCTGCGCAAATTCCCAATCAGTGGAAGAACCTGCACGGATGCCGCACAAAGTATATGACCAAGAAAAAAACACTTGAAATTACTGCACTCTGGAAAATCTAATAAAATAACCAAGGATATTTATGTGCTTTTAAGATACTATAACTTGCATTAAAAATGTTTATAATAATATTGTAATTTAATATCTATTAATTTAATGATTGTGTTATAAAAAATATGGTTGGGAAGAAACTTAAGAAATTGTTACATGAATTAATGTCTTCTTGTGGAAAGAGAAACACAAAATCTGTTTTAAAAGACATTCTAGGATACAAACACTACTTATTAACAATACTAAAATTTAATTTATGGTAATTATAATTAAAATAATACTAACTATATGTCCAATAATAATGTCATAATGAAGATATTAAATCATAATGATATAACAAGTTGATTGGCCGAGCAGTTAAGTCAGGGGCACCGTAACCTTCAGCTATAATATTGGTGCTGGTTTAAACAGCTCACTGGCCAATGGTTCCGGTGGTGGAAAAAGTCTTCTCAGATAAGGACTTTAAACCGTAGGCCCAGTGTACGCATTTGTCTTGTGTGCACTTTAAAGAAAAGTACATTCGTCAAGAAGAGTAGAGGGTTACCCCGGTGTATTGGTCCATTCTGTCCCCTGCGGATATGCCATATAGGAAAGTGACTAAGTTTGCTTATTGGCATATCCTTGGCGCTCGTGCCTAAAGAAATTAAATGAAATAATAACAATAATAGTACTGTATGTCATATTGATGATATTACAGTTAAACCAGGGAACAATTAAATTGTAATTTCACTGTTCCCTGTTTAAACTTGCCTAAGTCGACTTTGCATAACTCAAAAATTTTCTAAGTCAAACTTGCAGGGGAGGATCTAGGTTCAATTTTAGGGGGGAGGGCCCAGAGTGTTTCCAAATCCCCAAAATGAAAAGGGGGTCCGGAAAATTTTGATTCCTAGATGGCGGGAAATGAGCTTTCTTGACTTCTGAGGTATCTTTTAATAACCTTTAAGTTCTTCAAAATTCAACGTTTTCCCCCTCTTGAAAAAGGTCAGGTAAATTTTCTCATTCTTATTACAGTAAATAGGCCTAGGCTTTCTATGCGTGTATACATACAGAAAAAGAAATTAAATAGTTGCATACGTATACTTTTTTCAATGAATCGATGAGCCCATAAGCATGAGAAATGCACTTTACTTTTGGAAAATAAAATAATAATAAGGGTAAGTTTTGTATGATGATTTGTATTTTTAGGTTTAAAAACCACAATTTCTGCTCAGGTCCTGAAAAGGTAGGTCTATATTTTTTTTTGCTTGGCAGCTCAAGGGGTGGGGGGTGGAGATGTGTATAAGAGACAGCTGTATGGTCAATTAATTTGTCTTAAGTCACAATGAACTTAGTTTACATGTGAAATTGTGTTTTCCACTAACAATCTGTAAGTCAAATTTTATCTAAGGCGAACAATTCTTCAATGGCATTTTGGATTCGACTTAGGCAAGCTCAACAGTATATCATAACGATAATATACAATAATGTATGGTTAAGATTATTGTCCAATGTCTAACACATACAAAATATGTTATAATGATTATAATAGCAATTATAATTCAAGTACTCTATGATGTTTTAATACATTATTTGTTTTCTATAATATATATCATTTGTTCTACATATGGAATGATAATATCAGAATTAACAGCATTGCTTTAATGAGCTTCCCATTTGAAACATGGTTCAATACAGTTCAATCAATCAAAATACAATGTCTTTATTAACCTGGATGACAGCATTACAACATGCTGAGAAATGCATCTACAATGGCAATGACTGCCAGTATAGTCTACTTTCACCTGTAACTTTTTCAAAACCTATCAAGTGGAAAACCTGTGTGAAAGCTCAGTAGAATTTTCATAAGCAATAACATATCAATGTATAACCATGAGAAATAAGTTTAGACGAACCAACATTGTAATAATTGACATAATTACACCCTGTAAATATTAGTTCATTCTGTGTTTATATATTGTTAGGATGATGGACAGCTCTTGCTGAGTTCACATTTCTACTTTACAGCTTGCATTTCCAACACGAGGGATCAGATCTACAGGAAAAAGATTTAATACTTAATTAATATACTTGATTATCATATCAATAATTACAAATATTACTTTTCCTAGTCAATCAAGAATACTTTTTTTTTCAAAATAAAACTCTTTCACTTATGGTAGCATCCATCAAGCTATGTTTGCACATGCAGTAGGTCCCAACAGACAACATGTGCATACAGTAGATACATCTCCATTTATAGTAAAGTGGAACATGTACTATAATTAGAGAAGCTTTTAATTGATTCGGAAATTTGTGGGGCAGGGGTAGTTTGCGGTAGTCTTGGGGATATCTAGCTTCGGAAAGTTTTGTTTTTTTCTAGATGCTGAGAAATGCACTTGCGTGCATTACGAGACTTCTATTGATCAATGAATACACACTGAATTAATAGATTTTCCCCCATTTTACCATGGACAATTAATAATTGCGATGATGATGGTGATGATGATAATGATGATGATGATGATGATGATGATAAGGAGGAGGAGGCATCGTAGCATGTGACGAGAGAGGCTCCTGTGGAAGGTTAATTAACAGGCCCTTTGATATGAGTGTCAACCGAGGCCTGTATCCCGAGTTCGTCGTCACATTTTCAATGCGCACAATCAGACAACAATAATTATCTACAAGTTTATAATCAGTACATTCTCAACTGTCATGGAAGTATCATATATCTAAAAAATTCCGTTATATGCATGCTCGGAAGTGGTAAGCTTAACCTAAAAAGATATATGTTTCATGTTTGTTGAATGGTCTTTAAATGATATTATATTCTAATACGACCACAACATAAGGAAGAACACTTTGTCAACTACAAAGTTCAGACCCATATACATTTATATTTCTTTAGGCTTAAATCATAAGGAAGTCTGCTCTATATCCAAATTTCTGGAAATTATACGTTTTATGCATGCACCGATGTGGGAATTTTGTTTTATATTGTTTGTTGAATGGTCTTTAAAAAATATTACAGTCTAATATGACCACAACATAAGGAAACCCATTCTTTAAATGCTTAATAGATAGTACAGAGAACTATGATTGTTTATCAAAACCATTATACACATGTTGAATCCAATATTTTTAAAAATCAATAAAAAAAATATGTTTCCAGTGCACGCGCTGACGTGGAAAGATTAACCTAATAAATCTTGTTAATAATGCAGTTCTAAAATTAATCTTATGACCACAAATTTTAAGTTGTATCTTCAGGAAAAATAATAATGCACTTTTATTGTACCGCCACCGGCTGGGAAAGTAATTAAATATGCATAAATGTCTTCTGTGAATGGTTGATTGCCAACATTTCGATGCTTAGTGGTTGGACAGTCGGATATAATGCGTAACTCTCATAATAATTTCATATTTCGAAAAACTGTTTGGAGTATATGATCACGTTCCATGATAGATTACATCCACAGGGTGCCCCTAAGCCAAAATTCAATAAATTGCGTTTTTCCGAATCACAACAGACTGAGTAGATTAATTAAAATTCTTTTTCCACTTCCAACACTGTATGATTTGAAATTTACATACCATTCACGTCGTTGCTTTTCTTCAGATTCTGTGTTTATTTTCAGTCTCTCTGTGCTCAGTGGTCATTTTTTAATTTCTTTTTAGACGTACTGTATGTAAGTGTGTTCGTAAGTTTTAAGCTCTAGGTCTACAATTAGGCTACCAACTCTATTAAAGACTTGTTTTTTTTTTTAACGAATAGCATTCTTTAAAATAATAATTCATTATTCAAGAAGTAATAATTAAAATAATATGTTTTTGCTTTGGTGTAATTTTGGAATAACAAAATATAAAAAAATTATATATGCCTTTCAATAAGGTTATAAGAATCAATGCACATGTATAGCCTATCCTCCCTGTGATTGATTTTGTATTAACCATACACTGTGACATAAATCATAATAATAATAAAGAACTCAACAGTGTACCGTACGTTATTGCACAGCCGATTTAATTACAGTCCCTCTTTGATTAATACTTAGACAATGCAAAAAGTTTATTTTGTCTGTATATTTTTGTCTTTGGTTTAGGTAGGTGGTATTTTTGACAGAAAGAGTTGGAGTTCGCCAGACCACCAGGCACTGCTATCACTTTATATTGGCGAATGGTGCGAAGAGGTATGGATCCGCGCCTGCCTCTAGGTGCCCAGAAGTTGCACTCTCATACTCATACCTTACAACAATACAATACAACAATTATTTTTCTTAATACAATTTAGGGGGGTGCGACCGCACGCTCTGCATCCACCCCAGGTAAGAAGGCAAAGTTTAAGGTTTACAATTAAGTACAAGTTTGCAATAGTACATATTTTCTAATCTTACTGTATTTCTGATTTGAGTAGATCTTTCCCGCTCATCAAAAACTCGGCGAACTGTGACACAACTGGGTCACAGTTCATACTGGCAGCTGCGACAACACAATCACCCCTTTAAGTAAAACAAGCAAGGAGTTAATGTTTTCTTAAATCCAAAGAAACATATGTTAAACATCAGCTACAATGTGAGTATTGCAGTAGATTGCGATTGTTTACATTCAGAAAAAAAATTTACAACTGTTGAGGATGTGCCAACACTTTGAAATTTAATGATGTCTTTCATCACTTGCTGTGTGAGGCACACACTCTTGTAACTAGCATTCAGAATTAGCAAGTTTTTCCGGGAAAAAATGTTAACTACTGTAATAATTGCACATTATGCCAAAATGATATTGAAATTAATTATTCATATACAGTATAATTAACTTTTAAGTCTTAGTTTAGTAAAATATCTACAATGTCATAAAAACAGTAAATATTATGTATATATTTTATGGTTATAAATTCAGTCTTTTAAAAACATGTAAGAGTCATTATCAACATTTATTCTTACTTTGTGTAATATGCAACAAATTTAAGTTCTTCCATATTTCCGTCAATAATTACATCATCGGCACCAACACTGTAACCAGCAAAACGCAAACTTTTCCCAAAAAGTTGTGTCCAGAAATAAGGCACACTGTTGACTTCAGTCTCCTGCTCCAAGATATTCAAAGCTGCTGTGCGACCTGATGTCAAAATTAGGAACATTTTTTTTAATTGAAAGCATTTTTTCCAAACAAGGTCAACAAAACGATCCCCTTCATCTTTGACATCACTTCATTCTTGTAAATTTTAGACATGAATATTTAATTTTATCATCTTTTTTTCTTTCTCCTTTTGCTTTTTTTTTTTCCATCAGGCACATGGCCAAAGATTACCAATATTGACAACCACTGTCCTATTAGATAGGGGAAATCCCTTCACATGGCAAACATTTACACATCACATAAACTCTCATAACAAGGCTTATGGAATAGAGTTGTTTTATTGTGAGAAAAAAATCCTGGAAACTGACAGGATTTAAATCCAGGACCCTGGATTGGAAGGTGAGCATCTTAACCATCATGCCATTCCTTCCTACTCCACTCCAAACATTATTCATATCTTATCTTATTTAATTTGTAATTTAGCCAGCCAATTAATTAATCAATTAATTAATTAATATTGTACATACCATGGGCATGAGCCATCTGCCAATGTCCAATATTAACCTTTGCATCATTGGCAATGCTAAGTGGAAACTCAACGATGTCTCCAGCTGCATATATATTCTGTTTGTTAGTTTTCATAGTCTGTGAGAGCAAGAGAGTTATTTAAATAAGTCCAATCTCAAGCCTTGAACACCTCTTTATGTTTTTGTGTTACTATCTCATCTCAGTAAAAGTATATATGTTAATAATTTCTTTTTTAGGCTTTTTGAAAGCTTAACACTCATACATTGCACTATGCATGTTAGTCTTCATATTGAGTTGATTGTGGGGTGGAGGGGTGGGGGTGATGCTTGCACAATCACTTTCCATAATTGAGGCATGTTGTGGCAAAATGGCTAAGTTTCAGCAAAAATTGAAATTCAAGTTATTGGTATTTTCAGATACCTGAGTATGTGATCTTTAAAATGAGGGGTCATTCATTCAAATTGGACATTTCAAGCCTAAGTTATTGGAAAGTGAAAGTACAGTACTCTTAGAGTCAAGATAAACATGATTTTGAGTAATTGCCTTTCAAAGTTATTTGTGCATACATTGATTAATAGGATGAACTATGAAAAATAACGGTAAATAAACAACTTGTTAACCACTTCCAGAACTAATACTTTGGGACATGATTAATAAGACATTAAACTGTTGATCTATAGTGAAAAACAAAATTTGGATTTTTAGGCAATTTTTTGAGCTCCCATATATTATAGCTCATTTACTCAATACTGGACTGTGCGACAACTTAACCATTTCGCCACAACATGCCTCAATCATGTAAAAAAACAAATGTATAGGAACAGATGTACTTCCATGTCTAAGCTAAATTTTAATACTAATCCAGGATTCTATAGTGTTAACTATAGTGTTCCAAAGTCACCTAATAACCTGATACCTGTGCAAGTGTTAATTTCAATTTGTTTTCCTGAGCAATAAACTAAATACACAAAAACATATAAGACAATATGAAAATAGTAAACTTAAATAATTATAAAAATATATAGATATATCAATTTGCCCTACGCTGTAGTCATAACAAATTCAATATATGTGCGTTCTTAAAAATAATTAATATACTTGTCTACTTGTATTTGTAAACAACTTTTTATTAGCTGTGAGACATAATTAACAAACATTCAATTCTTACCTTATCAACTACCACTGCATTCCAATCATTCAGTGCAACTCCACTGTCTTTCAAGAACTCTGTCGATGGCGTGACACCAATACCCGCAACACATACATCAGCGGGTAAGATCTGTCCATCTTTCAATACAACCTCGGTCAGTTTTCCTTCCTCCCCTTTAAGTTCACTCACTGCACTGTTCATTATGAATTTTACATTCTTCTCTTCACAAAGCTAAAATACAAAACAAATCATAATTTATCAAAATTTCATTATTTCACATTCAAAATTTCTACAGATAATATGTAAGTAGCTGTAATTCTTACTTTTTGAAGAGCGCCACCAATAGTTTTGCCAAGACTAGATTCATATGGCACTGAGGATCTTCCAATTACTGTCACACTACTTGCTTTGTTGGCTAAATAAATGCAGATTGTTTAATTCTGTTTGTGTTAATTGTAGAGAGACCTCGTTTATTTGCAGTGTATAAGTCAACCCTTCATTATGAGAGAATTGTTGCATAAAGTGGAGAGTTCTTTGTATTAGACCTGTGCACAAACCTTGTTTTGATTGGATATTTTTTTATTAGTATATAGATTATCTTGTAATGGTAATGCTGGTATATTTTATGTGTATAATTGAAGGCAGACTTATAATAATCTATTATAATTTGCATATTATATGATCATTGAATAAAAACTTTAAAGAGAGAGCAAAATATGATATTGATTATGATTACTGTAATATTGAAGACACCTATGTGGTTATTGTTTTTGCACAATTCCTATCATGAATGCATTAAGTAAACCAAAATTAGTGAATGTATTATTTAGTAAACCAAAATTAGCATGTTGATTCTATAATATCATAGGTTGTATTGAAGCTGCACAATATTTTTTCCATATTGCCAGACAACGTAGACTGGTTTCATCCTTTGGGGGTGGGGGTTGCGAAAATTGAGAATGTGGAACTGTGGGGTGGGGATGCGAAAATGAAGAATGTAGAACTACATCCTTATTCCAATGAAAACGTAATGGTCATTTTTAGTATTTCAGCTCACTTAGAACTACACCACCCTCCTCCAGCCTACGCTCATGTGTTATATCTGTTAGAACTCCTCTACTTAACAGACTAAACACCTGGGATTTCTACAGATAATATGTAAGTAGCTGTAATTCTTACTTTTTGAAGAGCGCCACCAATAGTTTTGCCAAGACTAGATTCATATGGCACTGAAGATCTTCCAATTACTGTCACACTACTTGCTTTGTTGGCTAAATAAGCTGCAACTTCTACACCTACAAGAACATTATTTGATAAGATACAAATTTAGATATATATATATATATATACACATTTAG